CCGCCCTGGCGCTCCGCGTTCAGGGGCAGATTCCTGCGCACCCGCTATTGGCGTTAGGCAACGCCTGCCACGCCATGCGACCCTGGCGTGGATAGAGACTACGCTCAGGGACCACCCCCTGCGCACCCTCTCTGGGTCGCGAATGTGCTACACCTGACACGCCCCGAGAATGGAGTAACCGTACGGCTCTGGTCGCGATTTTTCTGCGACGTTGCATTGCAAATTTGTCCGACGTCAGATCTGAGGGAAGGCGGTTTGATACAGTGGGCTTGCACGGCCTCGGCAGATCCTGCTGATGCGACAATCAGGAGGGGCTCCTTCCGAAAGCGAAGGCTCTGTGTCTCAATCGGCCTTTCTTTGAGACGCGCTGGCCGCGTTGCAGACGGCTCCCAGACATCAGGCGCTCAAATATTTACGGTTAGGGGACCCCCAGAGGTCTGGACTTCGCTACAGGGCTGGCGCTTCATCCTGAGACGTTGTTTGACGGTCCCGGAGTCCGTTGAAGGCTCTGGGAAGCCGATTCGTTGAACAAAGAACAACAAAAAACAACAAAAAGGCCGGCCGCTCCAACTCTTGTCGGAGCCCAGGATCTCTGGGCTCGCTGCCTTCGAGTAGGAGATCGCCAACAGAGTTGAGCTACCCCAGAATTGCTTCTTCGCTGAATCTACGAAAAATGCGTGGAATGCCCTGTAGATCTACGACACATGTTACGCACTTTTGCTCACATGCGGCGAACGCATCCGCCTTCGGGTAAATCATTCATGTAGCCGATCTCCTGCTCGAGAAACTGTTCGGAGCCTTGCCCCTCCGGCCCTTCTTGCACCTTCTGGCCCCCCTTTGCCCTCCACTCGGTTCCCTCTTCCCCCTCTCTTCGCCGCAGGGCAGTCTGCTTGCGGGTGTAGCGGGATGAGCACATGGGCTCCGTGGAATGATTCCACGAAGTGAGGAGGGGACTTGGAATGGGAGGATGTGTCGCAGCAGCTCGCCCTCCTCCACCCTCATCCGCTCCTTCCGCCTCGCCCGTTGTCCCTGCACCACCTGCTCGTTCCCCTTTTTCCGCCACTCCTCCGACTGATCCCTCTGTCACCCCTCCCTCGCCACGATGCTCTTCTTGGTGGTACTAGTCCTCCTCCTCGTCCCCACCCCCTGTCAGCGACCTCCCCATCCTCACCGCTATACCTCATAAGAAAGGAGGAGGGAAGGCGGAGGAAAGGAGGAAGGCAAGGACGACGACGACGACGACGACGACGACGACGACGATCACGACGACCGACGAGGACGACCAACGAGGACGACCGACGAGGACGACCGACGAGGACGACGAGAACAACGACGACGACGACGACGATGACGACCGACGAGGACCAGATTCAGACTCTGCGTGAGTCTTGGCCGCATCTCGCCCTTCCCGTCCCTGGTGTCCGTCTCCGCGGAGTCCGTCGGGGCTGACACCTCCTCGGTCATGCATCCTCCATCCTCGTCCTCGTCCACCTCCGCCACCTCCTCCTCCTCCTCCTCCTCCTCCTCCTCCTCCTCCTCCTCCTCCTCCTCCTCCTCCTCCCCCTAATCGTTCTCCTCATACTCCTGCTCCACCTCGTAGTCCTCTTCCTCCTCCTTCACATCACCAATGTCATCAGCATCATCATCGTCAGCATAAGCATCACCATGCTCATGAGCATCATCATCGTCATCAGCATCATCATCCACATCATCATCAACAACAACATCAGCATCGTCCGCAGCAGCATCATCATCGTCGTCAGCATCGCCATCGTCATCATCATCATTATCATCAGCATCATCATCACACTCATCATCAACATCACCATCATCACCAACATCACCATCATTAGCATCGTCATCGTCATCATCAGCATCGGCATCATAAGCATCACAAGTATCATCACCATCATCGGCAACAGCATCAGCCTCATCCTCAGCATCATCAACACCATCATCATGATCAGCATCATCAGCAGCATGGCTACTAGCATCAGCATCAGTATCATCCATATCACCAACAACAGCAGCATCATGTTTACGTTTTACCCTACGAGCGGCATCGCCCATGTCTGAGCTTGCGCGTGGCTCGACTCGTATCACGACTGTTCATGGTCATCAAATTCCTCCTCGGCCTCCTCCTCCAACTCCCCCTCCTCTTCCTCCTCCCCCTCAGCCTCCTCCTCCTCATCATCCTCATCATGCTCTTCCTCGAATTTCTCATCATGATCCGTACGTCGCCTCCTATTATTACCCCATCCACCTCCTCGGCCACCTGCTCCTCCTCCTTCTCCTCCTCCTCCTTCTACTCCTTCTCCTTCTCCTCCTGCTCCTGCTCCTCCTCCTCCTCCTTCTCATCATGCATGATCCTCCCATCTGTTCCTCCTCCTGCTCATCATGATCACTCCTGCCTCCTCCCTCAATGGTTTGCTCCCTCCCGTCCTGGCTGTGCGCCTGGTCATCGTGTTCGCCCTCCACTGGCATGCCCGGGAGGCACTCGGGAACCCTGCGCAGGCGCTGGGCCTGGCGCCGAGGAAGAGGATACCGGGGATCGAGGACTGCGGACCGAAGGTCGATGCTGATCTCGAGACGATTCACTTTCGTCCCCTCTCGGCGCCCCCGGGACGCCCTCGTGGCTACGGCCAGATCCGCCTCTGTCCTCTGGCCAGCGCGCGCCCCGGGAGAACTCCTGGGGGCGAGGTTCGAGGATCATCGAGCGTGGGAACACAGCAGGAAGAGAAGCAAGGGCGATGGACAGGGACAGAAGCTGGGAGGCGGAGGGGAACGGAGGAGGAAGGTAAGGGAAAGGGCCAGGAAGAGTGAGGAGGGGCAAGGAGGAGGGCGAGCACAACAACAGTGGGGAGCAGGAGAAGGATGAGGAAGGATGATGAGAGAGGACGGAGGCTAAAGATACGAAGAACAGGACGAGTAGCGAGCAGGCGAAAACCAAGGAGGACCTGGATGGATGAATTGTGGATGATGCTGAGAACAGGAGTGCGGCAGGAGGGAGAGGGGAGCGCACGCGGCCCAAGGAGGGGCAGAGGAGTCCCTCCCGTCGGGAGCGGCATCCTGGTTGAACGCCTGCCTGAGCAGGCCCCGCAGGTGAGGGGCTACGCGGATGACAGTCGTAAGTCTGACAGGATGGGCGAGCCGTATCATTATCACGGGGCAGAAGATGGGGGGGGAAAGAGCTCAGAGGATCATCGCCCCACCCCTCGGCCAGAGCAGGTAGGAGACGACAAAGAACGGGAGCGGTGATAGGACAGCATATGGAATGCAAAGTGCCATCACCTCCGACGCATGCGCAGCCAAACTAAAAGTTCCGAATATCTTATCGGAACCAACGTGTCGTGATCCAGCAGATGAGACTCGTCTCCAGAAGAACAACGAACACACACGACGGGACCATGTCACTAGCTTGCTGGATAATGATGGCTGCGGAGTGGCTGTTGGCAGGAGACGTGTGAAGGGTCCAGGTTCCTTATGGAAGTCGGAAGTGATGTACTGCTCGAGTTTCCTCTGGGCGTCCTTCCTGCTGAGATCCTCAGGGAGCCTGGCAATGTATTATGACTCGTGCAAGTCCTGGAAGACGCACGCAAACAACGATTCCTTGAAGAAAGGAGAGGCTAGATAGGCAGCTGCGAAATCATCCCCAGCAAAGGTGGTCCCCAGCTGGTTAGCAATCTCTGGTTATGGCTCGGAGTTGTAGGCAACGCGAAGACGAGCGGCAGGGCCCCGAATCCATCGGTCTCCAGCCTGGACCGACAGACCTGTTTCATTCGGTCGGGGGAAACGCGCGGGCGGGAACGAATGCCTCGGAGCAAGCATATGCACGTGCGGGGGCTTCTCGGAGAAAGCCGGAGGGGGGCCGAGAGCCCCGAGCAATGATACCCGCGCAATAAATAGCATACTGGTTATGACCAACGATGATGATAATGAGCCGAATGCTCAATTTCTTGGCCAGGAAGCTTCTTTGGGTGATCTTGGGAGCCGCAGAAGCCCAGGGGACCTCTGGAACGTTCTTACCAAGGATGACTCCGATACATTTCCCATTACACTGGACTTTGAAAGACCAGCCCAAATGCCAGCTTCCAGGATGCATCATAACGATCACACACTTCTCAATGTTCAGGAGAAGCCTTGAGCCAAGGCCGAACCGGCAAAGGTGGCGGGCGATCATGGAGAAGGTGGCAGTGACGTCGGCTGCGGCAAAACCGAGGTCGACGGCGAAGGCTGCGATCTGCCCGGGCAGGGAGGTCAGAATGCCGCTGGGGTACCGGTGGTGCGGGTCGAGAGCGAAAGCGAAGAGCACGATGAAAATGGGGCGGCCTTCCTTGGCCCATCGCCGGGCAGCGGGGGTGACTGGATTGGCGCCGCGGAAAGCACTTGCGGCGTCCAGAACCAGGATATCGGCGCAGCCCAAAGCGCGTGAAACGCCTCTGGGGGGCGCGTGTACGGATGCTGGAAATGATGCATGGGAAGCTCGCAAGCTCGAGAAAAAACTTCGAAGGAACAGCGAAAAAAAAGCCTCCGTCGCGCGCATTGAGAACGAATCGGAAAACGCTTCTCGGAACATGCTGCAACCTCAGGCAGCCCGGCACGAGGCTTCCTGCCCGGTGCGGGAAAGAGCTGCCGGCCACCCTGCGCTGCTGGTTTCTAATCGCAAGCCCTCGTGGCTCCAAGAGAGCTGGGAAATATAGCATGTCATGCTTGTGTAAACTGGCGAGGACAGTAACGAGGTAGCGGTGATCATAAATGGCGAGGGTTGTAGGCGGCCAGCAGCCGACAGATCCGCGCGCGGTCGGGCACGGCGAACTCGTTAGAGATGGCATGGGAGGCGCCCGCGAGCCTAGGCGAAAACAAGCGCTCGGACGCAGCAGCGACGTTGAACCTGAAGTCTCCAATGTCAAGACGGCTGAAGTCTCCCAGCACGAAGGGAGAGGCGGCGCGAGCGGGGGGAAGGACACGGCGGATACGGCGGAAATGACGTCGAGCAACTGGCTCATAGAAATCGGGATCAATGTAAGCATTGCCGATCGGAGGGTTGCCGCGGGGCCCTCGGAGGTGGAGCAGCGCGACTCGCCCTGGAATCAACCCACAGAACTCGGACTCAGCGAATTCTTGCTGCAACTGCTGAGGGACAGAGATGAGGACGCCTCCTGCGTCCGCTGTGCTGACGAAGGAGCCGAAGGCCGCGCGCCACTTCAAATGCCTACACAGGCCGAGGAGGGCGCCACCATCGCTCCACGGGGTTTCCTTCACACGAAGTGTTTAATTACGCTGAGGAAGCGAATGCCAATTTTGAAAGTGAAGCCGCGCTCTGGCTCGTTTGGAATACATGGGGCCAACGAGGGTTTGGGAGCTTCACGTCGAGATTCTGAACAGTGAGCTCGGGTAGAATATTGTTATTGGGAGTGGGGGGGGCTGAAAACTAAACGGCCCCCCCGAAAACATCCGATGGCACACGAGAAAAAGGAGGCGGAGGAACGAGCGGGCAGGGGGCCAGCATGGGCTTCCAAATTCTTTTGCAGGGGCGGGCGAAAGAAGTTTGGGAAGCAGCGGCAACGAGCTGACCGAACTTTTGCGGGTGGGCCCGGGCCCGAAGCCCAAAGCTCGGCCTCCGCCAGAAAGGGATCCTAAACTATGGACTCAGCTTGCGCCTCCCCCGCGCGAGCGTTAGGTCGGGCATGTCCCCCTACAGGCGGATTTTGGGCGACGAGTTGAAAAAAATGTCGAACCAATACTCCCCGACAGCCAAAAATAAAAGAAACATCCTCCCCCGACGAATTTCCTCCTGTAGAAGGACACGCCCGACTTCACGCGAGCGCCGGCCCGCAAGAGAGCTTCCCAAAGGTCGCCGAGGACGGTGTGAAAATCTCGGAGCGGGAGGCGGCCCAGGCGCCGAGGGCAGGGAGCGAGGGGTCGAAGGTAGAGAGGTCGCCAGTGTTACGTCGGGCCTCTCCCTCTAAAGGAGGAACACTCGAAAATCCTCCAATAAAAAATCCAGGGGCCATTTTTCTATTGTTTCTGACCATTTTGAAATATTCGTTAACTACTTTCTTTCGTCCAAAATCCGCCTGTAGGGGAACACGCCCAAACTAACGCCAATGCCCTGCTTGGCGGGAAGGAGCTCGTAGACGCCGCTGTTTGCGACCACATGCAGGACACCCGTGTGGCCGTTGACCCCGAGCTCGCAGGAACTGTTCCGGAGCTGACGAGGGATGGCGACCTGGCCGACTGAGGGGTAGATGGACGCAAAAGCCTGCTTCTCCAAGCGACGGATGAATGGTCCCCATCGGATGCGGACGGGGTGGATGGACTGGTCGCGGAAGTCCTGCCACAAAACCGATGGTGTTGGCACTCCGCTGGGACATGTTGGCGGTGTCAACGCACTTGAGATTGAGCTTGTTGACGTGGTTGATGCCGTGACGCTGGGCTTCCACAGCACTTTCGTCGCAAAGATCTTCAGGGAACTTCTCCTTCACCTGCTCGCAACGAAACGGACGCGTGTGCCGCGGAATTCGATCATGGGGTCGCCCTGCTCACGGTCAAAGGTGAGGTCGGTAAGGCCTTCAACACGACGTGTTCTGTGGCCAACATGAAGGAAGGAGCGAACCCAAGCGGACGAACCTGCACATGATGCCGAGCTCGCGGTGTTACGAACTCGACCTTCTACCCTGTACAGGCGAGAAGCTTGAGCTTGGATCTCGTTGCGTAAGGCGGCTAACTCAGCGCCCTGAGCTGCCACTTGTCCTTGCAGCCCTGTTACGACTGCTTGAGCTTCGTTCTGCAAACTGGCGGCGAGGTCGGCGTACTGCTTCTCCATGAGAGCGGCCACCATGTCTCAGATCTCATCCACGGACGCCATGGCGGCCTGCTGGGTCGCCGAATGAGCCTGTCGACCAGATGGCGTTGCCTCGAGCCCCCCTCGGCAGCGACCAACTTCAGAGCGTCAGGGTCGCACGTCTTGAACTTGAGCCGCAATGGCTTGAGCCAAAATGGCCAATTACGGGTAAAGGGGGGGAGAACAGGAAGAGGAGGACGACGATGAGAAGAATCCCACCAGCCCTTTCGGGCGTGAGTGATCTAGGGCGTTTCCTCTTCTACCACTCCTTCCTCCCCTTCGGGGAAGGGCTTATCCGACCGGCAGCCAACCAAACCAGACCCATGCGGGCACCCATGACGACCCCCGCCAGCATCCCTACCAAAAAACGGTACGAAATGCAATGTGCCTCCAAATCTGGAGCATGCGCGGGCGCCCCGCGACCACTTTGCATTGGTTTTTGTTAGAGACGGCGGAGGTGTTGGCAACTTGCTTACGGCACGCAGGCCAAGACCCCCCCTTCATCCCTTGCCAAAACAAGTACAAAGTGCACTTGGCAACAAAATCTGGTTCATGCGCGGACGCCCCGCTATCACTTTGCATTTGTTTGTTGACATGCGCGGCGGGCGAGTCCAGCATACTGCCTGCGGTGTGCAACGCCCAACGCCCCCCAACAGTCACTCGCATTCAAAAATAAAAA